GCAATAAAACTGTAGCCAGAACCTACCTCAATTCTGCATTTTTGATGCTGTGAATGGGACTGTATGAAGAAGCTATACAAAACAGAAAATACCTGTCACAAGTATTTCTGCTTGCACCATGTCCTTTATATTGATTCAAAATGTTTTTAAAGAAGGTAATACGTGTATATGGTAAAACAAATTATAAATGTCAGTAAAAAGATATCAAATGGGAAATAAATTTCTCCCTTCTCATCTCCCATCCCAACATAAACCCCAGTTCCTGTCCCCAAATGTTAATAGTTTTATGACTATCTTTCTCTAAACATTTTATGTATGTATTTTATGTCTATGCCTTTATTTAAAAGTATCCACAAACAGTATTATACCAAACATACTCTTCTGAATTTTTGTTTCCTTCAAAAATGTATCACGGAATCCTTTCCATACCCACTCACACAGACTAGCTCGTTCTTTTTTGGGTCACTTGGTATTGCATTGTATGAACAGCCAGTGTTACAATCTACTTAAACAATGTTCTATGGATGGACATTTAGGTAAGTTTTTTTTCTCTATTTAAAAAAATCGGCAGATAATATTCTTGTTACAAATATTCTTGTAAACTTATAGAAGTATCTCTCTCAAGTAGTTTCCTAGAAGTAGAGTTCTTGGATCAAAGTGTATGGGCATTTAAAATTTTAGCAATGTAATCTAATTGTACTGCAATATGATTGAGTCTGTTTATATTCCCACCAGCAATGTCATGGACACTTGCTTGCTTACCCACCTGGCAATACTTGCTATATTAATTTTTTTTAATGTTTGCTAATTTGGAGGGTCAGGATGATCCCACCGTGGCTTTGATTTTCATTTCTTGAATTATACATAAGGCAGAGCATTTGTTCATTTGCTTAGTGGGTACTTGTACTTGGTTTTCTGTGAATCGCTCATTTATTATTCTTTGCTTTTCTTTTGGGCTCTTTGCCCTTGTCTACCATGTAAACATTCAGTTCCTACTATGTGGCGAGCACTACACTAGACTCTGAAACTGTAATGGTGATGAAATTGGAGCTTGCAGTGTACAAGGAGACAAACATTGATCAAATAACTCCCTCCGTGAGTGTATGGACAAACTGAATTAAATGCCTTGAAGGAAAGGCTCTTGCATCTCCTAGAGCATAGCAGGGAAGAGAGGGGCCTGGACTGGGGATGGGAGAAGACTGCCCTGGAGAAATTGACATCTGAAGAATGAATAAGACCAGGCGTGTTGGCTCACACCTGCAATCCCAGCACTTTGGGAGGCCAAGGCAGGAGGATTGCTTGAGCTTAGGAATTCAAGACCCAGCCTGGGCAACACAGTGAAACCCCCATCGCTGCAAAACATACAAAAATTAACCGAATGTGGTAGTGTGCACCTGTGGGAAGCTGAGGCAGGAGGATCGCTTGAGCCTGGGAGGAGGAGGTTACAGTGAGCAGTAAGCCATGATTGTGCCACTGCACTCCAGCCTGGATGACAGGAGTGAAACCTTGTCTAAAAAAAAAATAATAATGAATAGGACTTGGAGTTGAGGGAGGAGCATTTCTGGAAGAAGGGACAGCACTGTGGAGGGAGCATGATGTTGTCGATGGACTAAAAGAAGGCCCAGGGGCAGAGCACAGAGAAGAACAGTGACACAAGATGAGGCTGGGCTGCAGCGTCTGGGGAGGAGGCCTCTGTGATTGATGGGATTGTTTTGTGTTTTTTTGTTTGTTTGTTTTGTTTTTTGTTTTGCCTAGAGCAATAGAAAGCTATTGAAGGATTTTGAGCCATCGTTGGTGATCTAAGCTACATCCTGAAAACACTGTTCTAGCTGAACAGAAGAGAACAGAAAGATGAATTAGAAGATACTTTATGAGTCCAGATAAGATCTCATAGTAGCCTGGCCCTGGATGATGGCAGTGCACGCGAAGAGAGGCGGAGGAGGTTAAATAAGATGTGATGATGGGTTAGATTTGGGGGAATAGGAAGAGAGGAGGTATTCCTGGGTGTCTAATTAAGGGGATGGTGGTACCATTTACTGAGATAAGAAACACTGAGGCTGGGGTTGGGTTCAGCCTTAGACAAGACATCTGACTGAAGCTGGCAAGGAGGCAATTACGTATAAAATTCTAAGGCCAGAGGCAAAGTTTGGCCTGTCGACATAAATGTGTAAGTCATTGGCATATGCTAGTTGAAGTCATGGTCTTAGGACATGGCTCATGAAGTGTCCAAAGCAGGTCTACTCTTAATCTTTAAGAAATTCTGATATTTAATGGCCAAGCAGGGAGAGATGAGAGAGACAAGAAAACAGAAATGAGCAAGCTGAGGGCAGGAGGAGAGCGAGGGGAGCGTGGTGTCCCAGATGCCGGGGGAGAGTGCCTCAGGTAGGATGGAATGGTGCCAAGTGCAGACACCTGAGAAGAGGAGGTCTGGGAAACACCCATTGGATTTAGCATCACAGAGATCTTGGTGATACTAATTTTAAATTTACTCAGTGGAATGCTGGGGGCAGGAGCAGATTGGAGATGGTTGAGGAATGAGCGGGAAGTGAGAAAATGTTAGGCATTGGACCATTCTTGAGAAGTGTGGTTCTTCATAAAGAATAGCCCCAAATCTGTTCTTCCTCAGTGTTCACCCTTGACCCTTCCTGCCGCTCAATAAGCGGGACTGATCTTGTAACTCAGCAGCGAAAGGTCTGCAGCTTTGCCCTCCCAGCAGCCATGGCACCAGCCAGCCTGGGTGGAGTCTGCAGGGGGAGCCCAGCTGGAGTTTGGGCCTCTCCTGCCCCTCTGTGCAGTTTTTGATTCTGCAGGCCAGACCTCTGGGAAGGCCCACTGTAGGGGCACTGCTTAAAAGAAAAAAATGGGGGGTGGGGGGGCCTAAGAAAAAGTTCTTATATTTGAGTGATACCTACTGAAAAGTTGAAGGATGCATATTTGCACTGTGACCCAAGAGAAGCCATGAGCTGATCCTTGTTGAAGCTGAACAGTGGGTACATGGGTGTTTATTATATTGTTCACACTACTTTTGCATATGTATACATTTTTCCATAACAAAATTGTAAAAAGTTAAATTTAGGAATTCTGTAAACTGAAGGTGCAAAGAGCCAGTGGCCGTCACAGGTCCACTATGTACTTAGCACTTAAAACAGCATGTTCGGCTGGGCTCAGTGGCTCACGCCTGTAATCCCAGCATTTTGGGAGGCCAAGGCGGGCAGATCACATGAGATCAGGAGTTCGAGACCAGTCTGTTAACATGGCAAAACCCCATCTCCTCTAAAATACAAAAATTAGCAGGGCATGGCAGCAGGCGCCTGTAATCTCAACTACTTGGGAGACTGAGGCAGGGGAATCACTTGAACCTGGGAGGCGGAGGTTGCAGTGAGCCAAGATCACGCCATTGCACTCTAGCCTGGGCTACAAGGGTAAAACACTGTCTCAAAAAAAAAAAAGGACCACCTCTAAACCCAGTCCTCCATTGGCTTGTGGGTTTCCAGGTACCAAGAGAAGCTGAAGAAATTCTACTTCCAGATGCCACCCCTTCTTCTCCTGTTAACTCCAACACCTTGTTCCTTGCCCCCTTCTCCTTTCTGACCCCTCTCCTGAGTACAGACTCGAAATCATAGGTCTGACACCCATGGGCCTCATAAACCTCAACAAGTTCCCTCGAATCTCTGAGCCACTCTGAAAGATGGGGATCATAACATCTGCTCTGCAATGTTGTGACGATTAAATGTGACAGTGTGTGGGGGGTATCTAACACAGCCCACAGCCTCAGATGCCCAGGAAGTCAGGAGGGTCATCGAAATGAATGAAGCTGACCAGGTACAGGAGAAAATCATGTGACCCTCTTGGCCTGTCTTTAGCTTTGCCACTTGTAGTAGACATGTAAGTAGAAAGAATTATAAGAAAAATTCCAGGCCAGGTGTGGTGACTAACACCTGTAATCCCTGCACTTTGGGAGGCTGAGGTAGGCAGATCGCTTGAGCTCTGGAGTTTGAGACCAGCTGGGGCAACATGGCAAAACCCCATCGCTAAAAAAAAAAAAAATATGTGTGTGTATATATATATACACACACCCACATACACACAAAAATTAGCCAGGCATGCTGGTGCATGCCTGTATTCCCAGCTACTCAGGAGGCTGAGACAGGAGGATTCCTTAAGCCCAGCAGGTTGAGGCTGCAGTGAGCCAGAATTACACCACTGCACTCCAGCCTGGGCAATAGAGCAAGACCCTGTCTCCAAAAATAAAAAATACAAAAAGGAAAAGGAAAAAATTGGATCAGAAAAAGAACAATGCAAGTATGAAAAATGATATAAATCACCCATATTGATAAATAAAGGGGTAGTAAACTGAGACTTAGCCTCGGTGGTTGGGGGCAACAGGAGGGGCAGGGACTGGGGCAAATCAGAGCATATAGGGCCCATCTGAGAGGGGCAGCCATCCTGGGCTCCCGCTGCTGCCGTGAGGGAGTGTGAAGCCATTGTTAACATGTCTTGCTGGTTTACAAGAGAAGCTAGAACTCTAAAAATTTTTATGTGAAATATTCCAATTCTTATATTTGGGCTCAGTTGTTTTTTTTTTAATAACACTACAGAAGCCAAACTAAACCCATCTATGGGCCAAAATCAGCTCTTGGGCTGCCAGTGTGCAACCTCTCACCTAGATAATGGTATATAATATAAATTCGTTTCCCTTCCCCCCTTTTTCTCTTCCTCCCCTTTTTCCTTTCCCTCCCATTTTCCACATCCTTTTCACCTACATTTCTATACTAAGTCCTAGTGGTAGAAGGGATTAGAGTGGGCTGAAGAAGTGGTTCAGCCCAAGAGGATGTAATCTAGATGCCTAATGGTGCGCTGGGGCCTGGGTCACTGCCTGGCACATGGTGGATCCTAACAAAAACCTGGGTGAATGAAGAAGCCAGAGACTGGGGGAGTCAGCTCTCTACCTTGTGCACACCCTGGGCTTACCTGAAGAACTGTCTCATTTTTCTCAACAGCCTTGCGAAGTCGTTCTGGACGCTCCATCATCAATGGGAACTGGGCAATTGATCGTCCAGGAAAATACGAGGGCGGAGGGACCATGTTCACCTACAAGCGTCCAAATGAGATTTCAAGCACTGCTGGAGAGTCCTTTTTGGCGGAAGGTCCCACCAACGAGATCTTGGATGTCTATGTGAGTTTGGATGTTTCTGGACTGTCCTTTGGATTTTGAATCTTGTCACTTCTGAGGAACACACTCTGAACAAATAAGCCACAAATCGTTGCCCACACTCAATAAAAAACCCTTTGAGCAGAACCTGTTGGGGGCACCCCTTGAATGCTTGGCGTTTATCTTCGCCTTTACCTCTGAATGGGCCTAGCTCATAGAAACCTCCACCTCCACCAGATGCGTATGACCTTCAGAGTTTATTGACCCAGTAAAACCGACTTTACTTGTTGAACCAAATCAGAGGCAAAACATGCCCCTTATTTCATGAGCACTGGATCTCCTCAAGGCACTTTCCTCATAATGCTAATTTGGCGTGTGTGTTTTAAGGCAGAGGAAAGCAGGATCACTCCCAGCTCCCAGCCCTGTTCAAACTCAGAGCAAATGAAGAAAGGAGAGTTCCAGAGCCCTCCAGATGAAACAATGGAGCTCGGATCACAGGAGAGAGGTTTACTAGTAGCTCACTGCTTCACAGAAGACAAAACCTTAATTTATTTTATGCGAAACTAAAATATTAAATTACTCAAGAGTTTTAAATGGTTCAAAGGAAACCACTAGAATATAGTCTTCTTAACAAGACCATGAAATAAAGGGTGATAAGAAATAAAAGCTTGAAATAACATTTGGATAAAAAGAATGAGATCACCCATGACTATACACATTCTTTTTGTCCCCAAAGCTGAGCTGATTAACATATTTGCTGTGTCAGAGTTTTAGAAATATTATTAATTGCATTGTCATTACTTCTCTACCTGCACACAGTCCTGTGGCCTTTCCTCTTGGGCCCAGTAGACTCAAAATTACAAAGGAAGCCTTGTTACAGTTAATTTTGGATTTTTTTTTCAGACTGTCAGTTGGTCGGTTGACTCTGAATACATTTCACATGGTATCAGAGGTAAAAACTCAGGTTATTAAAGGCCTGCTGTGGGTGGTCTAGGAATGGAAGCCAACAGCAATTTCGTAAACGGGACAAGGTTTGCACTGGCAGAATGTTCAAGCAGAAGAGGCAACAGACAGGGAGGGAGGATTTCCAGCCACAGACCGAGAGGAACATGGTATGAAAAGGGAGTGAGAGGATGAGGGGTACACAGCAGGAACCTGAGGCCACACAACTGTGTCCCTCGGGGGTTCAGTGCCCACCGCCATATTTCTGCAATACCGATGGTTTTTGATACTGGTCCCTGGGTAGGAGAATCCCAGGAGTTCTCAGGTCTGCCTGCCTCTGGGTGATTTATAAAACGGACACCCCTTTCATCAGTAGGAAGTGGGCAAGAGATCATGGCATAAATAGGAAGAACAGACACAGGACCCACCATGCAGGAGTGACTCAGAGAGCTTCTAACTGGAAAGGACCTTTGAGAGTGACATGATTCTAACATCTTCCTTCTTCAAGGAAGAAATCAGCGCTGCGGGGTGAAGGGACTTGCTCTAGGTTACACAGCTGGTCAACAGAGACAGAAATATCAAAACCGACCGTGTCTCCTTGCAGAGCTCATATTTACACCGTGGGTTCTCATTCTGCTGCTCGGTTTGGCCCACCACCCTGCTTCCCATCAGGAAAGCCATGGGCAGCAAGGACTCCAGATCCGACAGGGAAGGATGTATTCTGTTGGGCCGTGTTCATGCAATATGTTTTCAGCCCGGATGATGTTCAGCTGCTGACTTCCACAGCCCTACGTAGATTCCTGCTTGGTGTCCTATTTTTTGTCATCATTCCTAAGAGAATATGACCCAGCAAGACTTGGGTCCCTTCTACCTGTTTTCCTGACCCCATCTTTATGTTTCTGGGGCTTTCCGTGAATGAGAGGGGGAGAAACCTGGAGCCAGCCTCAGCAGCCGGGTCGAGAACTTTGGAGGGACCTGAAGGATCCCGGGATGGCTCTGTCCAGGATGTCTGCTGCTTGTTTGCATGACTCTCTCGCACCACCTACTGTTAAAACAGGTCTCCTGCAGTGTACACGTATTCATCTGTGTTGAGAGCGCTGAGCAAAATCTAAGCCATGGCACGGAGGCTGTGAGCCAACAGAAAGGTTCTGCTACCATCGCTCCATCTTCCCATTTGGAGCTGAGAAAAATCTTGACTCTTAGCTTAGCTTTCCTCTGACTTCCTCAGCCTAAGTTCTTCATTCTTCAAATGTACATAACCAAAAGCCATCCGGAAATGACTTCCTTTAATCTGCCACGGGTTCACTAATGTTACTAGCTTCGTACTAGAGTGAACCATCCCAGTCATTTATCAATAGTTCTGTTAATGCCATTGAAACCCAAGCCAGCGGGAGAAGGGGTGTGCGTACGGGCCAGGTGCAGTAACACTGATGTTTCTGTCGGCAGATGATACACCAGCAGCCAAACCCAGGTGTGCACTACGAGTACGTGATCATGGGGACCAACGCCATCAGCCCCCAGGTGCTGCCCCACAGGAGACCAGGTAGAATCCCTTGTCTTGTGGCCGGGCACTCTGGGTCACTTCCTGAAAAGCCTTCTCTCTCTCAGTTCTTGTGCATCCACCCTCTGTCTCTCAGTCAACACAGAGAAAACCCAGGGACGCATATTTCAAAGCCAAGGGGCCTTGACATTGGAGCAGGCTTGACCATTTGTCTGAGCCGTTACTGATGAGACTGTGTCATTCACTCGATTAAAAAATGGTGTGAGCATCCTGGGTCTGCCCTGCCAGTTCAACATTTGAAATGCTTTCTACTAGCTTCCAAGCCTGGCAAGGGGGCTCACGCCTGTAATCCCAGTACTTTGTGAGGCCAAGGCAGGTGGATCACTTGAGCCCAGGGGTTCGACACCAGCCTGGGCAACATGATGAAAGCCCTATCTCTACAAAAAAAAAAATGCAGAAATTAGCCAGGTGTGATGGTGTGTGCCTGCTACTCAGGAGGCTGAGGTGGGAGAGTCATCTGAGCCCGAGGAGGTTGGGGCTGCAGTGAGCCATGATCGTACCATTTACTCTAGCCTGTATGACAGAGTGAGATCCTATCTCAAAATTAGAAAAACCAACACAAATTTACTCTCAGAGTTCTGGAGGTTAGAAGTCTGAAACAGGTTTCCCTGGGGCAAAATGAAGGTGTCATCAGGGCCTAGCTGTCTCCAGAGGCTCTAGGAGAGAACCCACTTCCTTGCCTTTTCCGGCTTCTAGGGACCACCTGCCTTCCTTGGCTCCTGGCCCCTTCCTCCACCTTCAAAGCCAGCGGGCTGGCACTTTCACGTCTCTCTCTGGCTCTGGCCTCGTCACATCTCCTCTCTGACTCTCATCCATCTCTCTCTTTCCTTTATAAGGACCCTTGAGAGTACACTGGGCCCACCCACGCAATCCAGGATAATCCCTCTTTCTCAAAATCTCTAGTTTCATATGCAAAGGCCCTTTTTGCTATGTAAGGTAGCGTATTTACAGATTCCAGGGATGAGGATGTGGACATCTTTAGGGGGCCATTATCTGTCTACTATATGCCTTTTCTCTTGGTCCCCTTTTGTTTCTGTTAATAATACTTTGACCTATAAGACAAGAATCGTGAGTTCACACCTGACAATCCATATTGAGTCTTCCCGGTGGGCTCTGCTTATGGGCAGAGCAGGCAGCTTTCTCTCGGCTGGCACTGGGCATGGGACTGCTCTCTGAGTCTGCAGAGAGAGCAGAGGATGATGGAGCCCACCCCCCAAATGCAGACAGTCTTCACCTTCCTTAAAATAGGAATGTCTGCGGAAGTATTCATGGTAATCATAGCTCACACGCACCGAGTCCTTGCTGTGTATAAGGACTTATAAACTGCTGTGCTGAATTCTCACAACAGAGGAAGGTACTTGGAGGGACATAATGTTATTAACCTTATTTTAAGAGTAAGGAAATGGAAGCTTAGAAAAAATAAGTTAATAATTGTGCAGGTCCCACACCTGGGCAGTGACCTGAGGAGGGCCTGTGTGACCATACCTGTGCTTGTTATGTGGCTGAGAGGTTACGTGGTCCCATCCATATCCTAGGAGGAAATAAAGCCACAGATGCCAAACCTGGCCCATCCATCCTTCTCTGAGCTCTGGTTGGGATAACCAGGTTATCTGACAGCTACACACTGGGGAGAACAATAGTCGGGTGCGTCCCCAGCACATGGGGAGGGGATGTGTGGTCCAAACTCCAAGTCAGCACACTCAGTGCAACAGAGAATTTTTATGTCATGTTCAGAAGCAATGCACAGTTTGAGAAACCAAGTTTGGATAAGATTTCTGGGGTCCTTTGCTGGTTTACAGGGATAATCAGACAGACTATTTGAAATCTATCAGGATGATGATGATTTCTGTCAGGCCTGACGGGTCTTAGCTCATGAATAGCATGGGGGTTCTGGGATCAGCTCCCTGGGCTAGGGCAGGTCTGGAAGGGTCACCTGTCAAAAGTTGGTGAGCAGGGGCATTGTGACCAGGCTTCATCTTCCATATCAATGGAGTCTGAGTGGTTTTTGGCAGGAGGGAGGACATGGAAGGAGAGTGAATAAATTAGATGTCCATCCCAGCATTGTGCCCAGCACAAGGCTCCGAAAGATTTTTTAAATTGTTTTGTCCAACAACATCTTGGACAGTTCTCATTTATATCAGCATGCCTGGTCCTGATTTTTTGGTTGCATTTGCATGTCATATTCTAAACGATGAAGGATAATAGTTAGCCAACTAAGTAAGAAAGTCCTAGTGAAAAAGCTGAGAGGCTGGTTGCAGTGGCTCATGCCTGTGATCCCAGCACTTTGGGAAGGCAAGGCGGGCAGATTGCTTGAGCCAAGGAGTTCAAGACTAGCCTGGGCAATATGGCAAAACCTCATCTCCGCTAAAAGTACACAAAGTAGCCAGATGTGACTCACCTGTAATCCCAGGTACTCAAGAGACTGAGACATGAGAATCACTTGAACCCGGGAGGTACAGGTTGCAGTGAGCCACTTATACTCCAGCCTGGGTGACAGAGAGAGGCTCTGTCTCAAAATTAAAAAAAAAAAAAAGCTTAGAAAATCTTAATGATTTTATTATTTTTATTATGACTGAAATGGGGTCTCACTCTGTTGCCCAGGCTGGCCGTGAACTCCTGGGCTCAAGCAGTCCTCCCACCTCGGCCTCCCAAAATGTTGGGATTACAGGCCTGAGCCAGCCACCTCACCCAGGCCCCTTGTAGTTTTAACTGTGTTCTCTGGTAACCCTAGAATTTGCCTCCTTATTTTGTATTGCAATGAAACATACTTGAACAATATCCAATCAAAATAGAAATATGTAGAGTCAAAAGTAACTGCCACGTAATTGCCAACACTTGGAAGCAACCAAGAAGTCCTCAAATAGGTGAACAGATAAAAACTAATGGAATATTATTTAGGACTAAAAATAAATGAACCATCAAATCACAGAGACACGGAGGCACCTCCGATGCATGTTGCTAAGTGAGAGAGGCCAATCTGAAAAGGCTGCCTGTTGTGTGATTCCAGCTACATAACATTCCAGAAACGTCAAAACTGCGGAGACAGTAAAAACATCAGTGGTTGCCAGGGGCTGGGAGGACAGAGGGATAAGCAGGTGGAGCATGCAGGATTTCAGGGCAGTGAAACTGCTCTATGTGATGTTACACTGGCAGATGCATGTCACTGTGCACTGGCACAGACCCATAGAATGTTCACCCCCAAGTGCAAACCCTCATGTGGACTATGAACTCCAAACGATCATGACATGTCCATGTAGGATAGTCAGTTTTAACACATGTACCGCTCTGATGTGGGATGGTGGTGGTTAGGGACCCTGTGCCTGTGTGGTGGGAGTAGCTGTATGGGAACTCTGTTCTTCCTTTTCCTTTTCCTTTCCTTTCCTTTTCTTTTTCTTTTTTTCTTTTCTTTCCTTTCTTGACAGAATCTCCCTCTGTCACCCGGGCTGGAGTGCAGTGGTGCAATCTCGGCTCACTGCAACCTCTGCCTTCTGGGCTCGAGCAAGTCTTCTGCCTCAGCCTCCCGATTAGCTGCAACTACAGGCACGTGCCACCATGCCCAGCTAATTTTTGTATTTTTAGTAGAGATGAGGTTTCACCATATTGGCCAGGATGGTCTCAAACTCCTGACCTCGTGATCCGCCCACCTCGACCTCCCAAAGTGCTGGGATTACAGGTGTGAGCCACCACACCTGCCCAGCAACTCTATACTTTCTACTCACTTTTTCTGTGAACCTAAAACTGCTCTAAAAAAAAAAAAGGTCTATTTTTAAAAAATCAACAGCTCCCAACCCCAGGCCCTTCCCAGAGGGAGCCTAGCCCTTTGGTGGGGTTGCACCTAGCCTTTCTCTATGCATACACAAACATGTTTGCAGCCCATTTGAATCACTGACTACAGTCGCAGATGTGCAAGGAATAGTGCATATTATTATTTTCAATTAGTCAATTTAAATCTGACCTCAACTTCCCCCTTATTTGAAACCAGTAGATAATTCCATCGCAGTCTGCTTGGGGGTCTCACACACACACACACACACACACACACACGCACACACGTGCACACACACACACACACACACTCCAGGTATAAGCAAAGATCTAGACTCTTTGACAAACCAAAGCATTGGACCCCCTGGTGGTCTGTCCACACTAATTCTGCTGAGGTGCCACCAGGAGCAGCCTCATGGGGCCTTCAGGTTAGGGCTCTGCTCCTTCCAACCTGCATGGGGGGCACAGGATGCTGGTGAGGCTGGCAGCCAGGCCCCTCTCCCACCGCAGGTGTGGCCTCCTCCTGGAACATTGTCCGGCACACCTAAGGCTCCATGGCACTCAGCAAACCAAGACCCCACACACCTACCTCTCCTTCACCTTGAAAACTTCTCTCTTTCTCTCTCTCTTGCTCTCTAGCTTGCTCTGTCTCTGTCTCTCGCTCTCTCTCTTGCTCTCTGTTCTCTGTCTCTTTCTCTCTTGCTGTTTCTCTTATTCTCGTCTCTCTCTGTCTTACTCTCTGTCTCTCACACTGTCTCTCTGTCTCTTGCTCTCTGTCTCTGTCTCTTTCTCTTACTATCTCTCTCTCGATCTCTGTTTCTGTCTCTGTCTCTCTTGCCTTCTGTCTCTGTGTCTCTCTTGCTTTGTCTCTGTGTCTCTCTCGCTCTGTCTCTGTCTCTTTCTCTCTCTCTCCCTGTCTCTCTCTCTTGCTGTCTATCTCTGTCTCTCTTGCTCTCTGTCTCTGTCTCTTTCTCTTACTGTCTCTCTCTTGCCTTCTGTCTCTGTGTCTCTTGCTTTGTCTCTGTGTCTCTCTCTCTTGCTCTGTCTCTGTCTCTCTCTCTCTCCTTGTCTCTCTCTCTTGCTGTCTATCTCTGTCTCTCTTGCTCTCTGTCTCTATCTCTCCTCTCTCTCTTGCTCTCTGTCTCTCTCTTCCTCTCCTCTCTCTCTCTCAAAATGTGCCCTCCTCCTGTCTGGGGCACCCCTCAGGGACATCCACTTACCCTTAATGACAGCCTAGGCCTGCAGTCTTGGAAGGAAAGCTGTTGACTTCTAGCAGCTTTTGTTTTCTGTCCTGCACAGAAACAAAGCAATAACATCTAAGGACTTGGCTCCTCTTTCAAACCCGAGGAGGTAGAGGAATAAAGACAGAAAACCAAACGCAAATTAGTATCTCAAAAAGTGACCTGCCACGTCTCTGTGTGTGTGTGTGTTAAGCTTTTTTCTTTCACCAAACAATGTTCACTCACTTCTTCATGCCAGAACATATATTCGCTGCATCATTTGCAAAAATCACATAGTATTCCATTTTGTATTTGTAGCATAACGTAGTTTAACCAGTACCACTGATGAACATTTATGTCTGTTCTACTGTTTTGCTATTTCAAATAATACTTCAGTGGCCAGGTGTGGTGGCTCATGCCCGTAATCCCAGCACTTTGGGACGCCAAGGTGGGTGGATCACGAGGTCAGGAGTTCAAGACCAGCCTGGCCAAGATGATGAAACCCCATCTCTACTAAAAATACAAAAATTATCCAGGCATGATGGCAGCACCTGTAATCCCAGCTACGCAGGAGGCTGAGGCAGAGAGTTTCTTGAACCCAGGAGACGGAGGTTGCAGTGAGCTGAGATCGCGCCACTGCACTCCAGCCTGGGCGACAGAGCGAGACTCCATCTCCAATCAATCGATCAGTCAATCAATCGATCCTCAGTAACCATACTTGTATATTCTGCTCTATGTAAAAGAAAATATTTGCAGGACAGATTGCTTGAAACTGAATTGCTAAGTCAAAGGGTATGTGCATTTAAAATTTGGGCAGATAATGCCAAATTTCCCTGCAAACCATGGATCAATTTGCAGCCTCCTCCACAGTGACTGAAAGCGTGTTCTCCTGTACCTTCAACAGGCATTTTGGGAAAAACTTTCCAATCTTTGGGAAAAGCACGGGGTGTCTCTCCAAATAAAAGAGAAGATAGGCTTGTGGGATTTGGGAGAAGGATACAATTTATGTGAAATTTAAAGTTTCCAACCTTTCCAGTCTTTGGTGTTAGGTACATAGAGGTGGTGGTGGTGGTCTGTTCCTGTGAATTTATGGAATTATGAGTGAAGCTGAGGATTTTTATATGACTTTGACTGTTTGTATTTCTTCTTATGTGAACTATCTATGGCTCACAACAACTATTCCTACTGCAATGTTCGTCTTTGTCTTATTGATTTTCAAAAGTGCTTTGCATGTGAGGGAAAGCACTAATAGGTGTCTGCTGGTTTTAAACAGATGTGCTTATGTGCTGTGAGTTCGAAACCATCTCATGCTACACAGCGTCTGCTGTTGAAGCAATTTCCTCTTTAGAACTCAGCGTCCAAACTGATCCTGCTTCTGTGTGTGCACGCCTCCTTCTCCTAGGGGAACCCCTCAACGGCCAGTTAGTGACAGAAGGCAGGAGCCAGGAGGAGGGAGACGCGAAAGGGAGGAACGAGAAGAAGGAGGACTTGCGTGGGGAGGCCCCGGAGACGTTCACCTCGGAATCAGCACAGACCTTCCCGGTCAGGCATCCGGACAGATTTTCTCCCCGTCGACCGGATACCTTGGTGCCACCGGCACCGCAGCCCCCACGGCGAAGCCGGGATCACAACTGGAAGCAGCTTGGGACGACAGAATGCTCCACGACCTGCGGGAAAGGTGAGCCTGTGAACCGTCTGTGGCTCACAGCTGCTATTCCTACTGCAATGTTCGCCTTTGTCTCACTGATTTTCAAAAGTGCTTTGCGTGTTAGGGAAAGCACTCATCGGTGTGGGAAAGGTGAGCCTGTGTGAGGGACAGGTGGACCCCCGCAGAACCCTAAGCAAGGAATGTGTGAGTGGCCCAAGGCAGCGGTCCCCAGCTTTTTTTTTTTTTCTTTTTTTTTTTTTTTGAGACAGAGTCTCTCTCTATCACCAGGTGCCAGGCTGGAGTGCAGTGACACGATCTTGGCTCACTGCAACCTCCGCCTCCTGGGTTCAAGCAATTCTCCTGCCTCAGCCTCCCGAAGTAGCTGGGACTACAGGTGTGTGCCACCATACACAGCTAATTTTTGTATTTTAGTAGAGACAGGGTTTCACTGTGTTGGCCAGAATGGTCTCAATCTCTTGACCTTGTGATCCACCCGCCTGTCCCCAGCTTTTTTGACACCAGGGACTGGTTTCATGGAAGACAATTTTCCCATGGATGGTGGCAGGATGGGGTGATGGTTTCAGGATGAAACATCCCTATCACAGATTATCAGGCATTAGTTAGATTCACATAAGGGGTGCGCATTCTAGATCCCTTTTCTGCACACTTTACAATAGGGTTCACACTCCTATGAGAATCTAACACCATCGTGGGTCTCGCTTACCCACCAGTCACCTCCTGCTGTGCAGCCTGGTTCCAGTTGGGGACCCTGGCCCAAGGGATGCGGCAAACCCTCACCTCTGTGAGCCTGTCTGTGAGATGGCTCATGGGTGTGAGATTGTGTTGGGGCCCCCAAGACCACCCTCAGGCTTAACGATCGGCTCAAAGGACTTATAAGACCTGGAAGAGTAATGAATTGCTCATGGTTACCATTCATTACAGTCAAAGGATAGGGATTACAGTTAACAAAGGAAAAGGCGCATCAGCAAAGTCCAGATGCCAGGCGCCAGCCTCCAGGTATCCCCTCCAGCAGGGTCACACGGGGATGCAGTTAATGTTCTCAGAAATGGTGTAACTCCGAGGCTGGCAGCACATGCCAAATACTGCCAACCGGAGATGCTCACCCAAGCTTTGGTGTCCATGTTTTGACTGGGGTCAGTGGTGTAGGTATGCAGCTCCCACACGAGTGACACTAGCTACTTTACCACCCCAGAAGCCAAATCAATACCGTGTGGCCCAAGACTTCAGGCATTTAAAAAAAAAAAAAAAAAAAACAGTCTTATCAGGTGGAATATTCCAAGGGCTAGAGGTTATCTTTCAGGAGCCGGCCAAGGGCCTGTCTTTGGCATGTGCAGGGTTTGAGCAATTCAGGCCTGCTGCACACACATATTCATTAATAAACAGAATATGCTCACATGCTTCAAGATCTAAAATTTAATCTACAAGTCAGGGCTGTGGAAGACTTCACAAATCCTCACTGAAACTCATTCTCACATCTAAGGATTTCAGAAAACAAAACGTACTTCGGGAGCTTGGTGTGTTAATTAGCTGGTTTTCACACTGACCAGCACTCACAACTCCTATACTATCCCAGGAAAATCCCAACCTTGTATTCACCCATTATACTAACCCAATCAGCTATGTTTTCTTTTCCAAGCCAAACTGTATCCAGCTTTATTAAAGATACGTTCCAGAAGCAATCATGGTATTTCATGCAGGACGTGGGCAGACAATGGTTAACAGTATACAACAGTTTCCAAACTCCCTGCTTTGATGGATGCCCAAAAATCAGAAAGCCACTGTAAAACCCAAGGAGGTCCTCATCTGATGCCCTGAACAGGGAAAGTTTAAAGTGAGGGTTGACATTTCACATTTAGCATGTTGTTTAACAACTTTTCACAAGTCGACCCTGACTTTCAGGAAGTGAAATGAAAATGGCAGAATGTATCCGAAGATCCACAATCTAGAAATGGAACCACTGCTCTTTTGAGGGGTGCCATCTCAGTGGCATCACCAGGGACAAACCTGAAGCCCAACAGAGTCAGCTTTATTGACCCCTCACAACAAGAGAGTCCACGGCACCGGAGAAAGCATGGGGTGTCTCTCCAAACAAAAGAGAAGATAGGCTTGTGGGATTGGGGGGAAGGATACAGTTGAGGTGAAATTTAAAGACAGCAGGGTTGTGATAGGCTGAAAGCAGAGCATGGCTGTGTCACAGGGGTCACATCAGCAATTTGAAGTGGACCCAAAAGTCCCATTTCCTTGAAAACTCCAAAGTTTAGGTGTGGAATGTGATGTCCAGAAAGCCTTGATCTGACATTCCATACCAGGTTGGAAATCAATGCCGCTTCTGTTTCAAGGTGACTTGTTGCAAGGATACACCTATGAACTGTGTAGTTATAATTTCCTTCTCATATATGATAATGGTCTCCTGTTTACTTGTAGTAAAGTACTATTTGATCCCCTGAAACAGCTGTTTTTTGAGGGGAGGTTGCTAACGAAACAGGAAGGCTGTCTCCCCCAGGAGTCTCTGCAAACTGGGGAACTGTGTGATACCCCAGAGCATTGGTTTGGGGTATTTTTTTCTTTTCTTCTGATACTTGTATCTAAAAGTACAAAGTTTGGAACCTCTGACAAAATTAGCACAGGAAAAATCTTTCATGACAGCTTCTAAAGTTTTTATCTTTTTCAAAGCATTGGCTTAGTGGCTTTTGAGAATAGAATTTAAGTCTTCGGTTCTTCTTGGGGGCTGGAGCTTTTCCTGCCTGGAACCTCTGCAATTCCATAATGATTTGGTAACTGGAGTGTTGATTTATAGAGGTTTTATTGTGCAAATTTTACTGTGCTCATACTTAATACATGTGCAAAGAATGTGGACTGTAGATTCATTGGACCAACTTCTTTTATACACTTTGTGAGGAAAAATTAAATGCCTATAAAATATGTCTTGACAGAGGCAGAAAGCTAGAAATAATTCTGCATTAAGGCCAAAACCATTCTAGTGAGACTCTGTCTGTGATATTATAGAGGTAAACCATATGTAATGTAATTGATATAGGAACCCGAGATCAAAATGTATTATTATTAAAATATTCAACCTTTAGGTAGTGGTGTGATGCCCATCAAAGGAACCAGATACATTCAGAACTAGGTGAAAACAGGGAAAGTCATAAGAATAATTAATATTTTATTTTTATTTTATTTTTTCAGACAGAGTCTCACTCTGTAGCCCAGGCTGGAGTGCAGTGACACATTCATGGCTCACTGCAACCTCCACTTCCTGGGTCCCAGTTCTCAGGCAATTCTCCTCCCTCAGACTCCCAAGTAGCTGGGACTACAGGCGCACGCCACCATACCCGGCTAATTTTTGCATTTTTAGTAGAGAAGGGGTTTCACCATATTGGCCAGGCTGGCCTTGAACTCCTGACCTTGTGATCCACCCGTCTCGGCCTCCCAAAGTGCTGGGATTACAGTTGTGAGCCGCCGCGCCCAGCCCACTGTGTTTTTCTACCAAGGTGGCATGTAGAGAAGATTCTCTTTCACCCTGTCCAGAGCCCATAAGACCTTTCATTGTGGGCTGGATGAGATGAGGGCAAAAGCATGTACCGTTTCCCCGTGCGTCCTCCAGCTGCTCCCACGATCTCTCTAATGGAGCAAACTCATAACCAAAGGTTCCAATTTTTGCTCCCACAACCCACCCCAGGCTGTGTGATCCACGCTGAGGTATGGAGGTGACATTTAAATGAAGCAGGGTAAAAGCAGGTAAACAAATAGGCTAAAAGCAAAACATAGCTGTGTTACTACCTCACTGTACTCTGGTATCTGGCCAGCACACTCCTGCTCATATTCCAAGCTTTGAGACACCACCTCTGCAAAGCCTTCCTGATTCTGCAAAGAACAGGTATGCACTTCGTCCTTGGGACCGCACAGCCATTCAATACACATTTCTTTCCCAGCCCTGCTTGGCTTGGCTGTCTCCATGAATATACACTTTGCAACCTCTGCACCTGGCATCATACCAAGCGCACAGTAGGCACTCCTGTGTTTCTTGAAAAAATGAATATATCATCACCACATTTCTTTTTTTTTCTTTTTTTTTTTTTTTTTTTTTGTTGAGATGGAGTCTTGCTCTGTCACCAGGCTGGAGTGCAGTGGCGAAATCTTGGCTCACTGCAAATTCCGCCTCCTGGGTTCAAGCGATTCTTCCGCCTCAGCCTCCCGAGTAGCTAGGACTGCAGGCGCCACCACACCCGGCTAATTTTTGTATTTTTAGTAGAGATGGGGTTTCACCATGTTGGCCAGGATGGTCTCAATCTCTTGACCTTGTGATCCGCCCACCTCTGCCTCCCAAAGTGCTGGGATTACAGGTGTGAGCCACCGCGCCCAGCCCATCACCACATTTCAAATGTGGAATATATGAGCCACTAGAAAAGGCATAAGGGTAGTTTTTCATCTTTATTGTATCCTAGATATACAAGCCTATGATTGCCTTTACGCATGTTCTGTCAGCATAGCATAAAGAATGTGGATTCACCTGTTAGAAATTGAGCAAGCAGCCAGGCGCGGTGGCTTACACCTGTAAAATCGCAGCACTTTCAGAGGCTCAGGCAAGTGTATCACTTGAGATCAGGAGTTCAAGACCAGCCTGGCCAACGTGGCAAAATGAAACCCTGTCTCTGCCAAAAATACAAAAATTAGGTGGACGTGGTGATGCATGCATGTAATCCCAGCTACTCAGGAGGCTGAGGCGGAAGAATCACTTGAACCCAGGAGGCAGAGGTTGCAGTGAGCCAAGATTTCACCACTGCACTCCAGCCTGGGCGACAGAGTGAGACTCCATCTCCAA